GAGTGGGAGAATAGAGATAGAATGAAGCAGAATGATGAAAAAGGGGTCCCTATGTCCTCCAGCAGTCTAAGCCTATAGCAGCATAATGGTTGCATGGATGGACCCACTGATCCTGATCCTCTTCCATCCTCCTCTTTTTCTGTTTAATCCCTGCAGGAATCTTCACCACCCCTGTTAAAGGACTCTACTACATCCAGGTCACTGGGGTAGTCGGTAACAACGGTCAACTTAACGCCGGACTAAAGAAAAATAGCGACCTCATGTTTGCAATCTATCAGAAATCAGGACTCCAAACCAGCGCCTCCAATGGCATGACGCTGGCCCTGGAGCAGGGCGACCGGCTGTATGTCCAGCTCTGGAAGGGACAGACTATTGCAGACCAGGGACGCCTCAGCACCTTCACAGGCTTCCTGGTCTTCCCCATGTAGGTGGAGATCTGAGATGTTGTTCAGAACGTCACTCTGAACCCTGAGACCTTTGCTTAAGACCATCAATTTAAAAACTTCTGACCTTTTGAAAGAAATAAAGGCCTGCAGAAGATCTGATGCCTCGTTTTTGTTTGCAAATATGTTGAAGTTGGTCTGCTTGGTCTGTTTGCAAAAGGAAAATATATATTTAAGAAACTTAGTCCTTCTGATATTTAAATGAATTTCAGTTTATTTTTAATTCTTAACAGCTTTCATCTTAAGGCACTTTACAGATACAGTCAGAATAATTCAACATTTTTGATCTAGATAAACCAGCTGAATGCATCGTCATTAACCCTTGTCACGATTTGACTATGGTTAGTTGACACAAAAGCAGAGGCAGGGAGGCAGAGGTGAATCTATTGTGGATTTAATAATGACTTAACAGAAAGCAGAGGCAGGGTATCCAAAAATCCAAAAAGAAAACAAATTCCAAACAAGAGGAGTCCAAAAATCAAAAAATCAAAAAAAACATGAAAACTAGTCTTAACGTACCAGAAACCATAGAGACTAATGGGGCTAATGAGGAAACTGGGAGCAGGTGTGCACAGAACAAGAGAGGGAAAGAGCTAGGGAAAAAGGAGAACACAAGAGGGCAGCAGAGAGCAACAAATAGAAACCTGGAAATAACAACAAAATGATAATCAAATAACTAGGACTATAAAACATGGAGAAAAGACTAAACACTAGAAAACAAGAAGGAAAATAAGACTGAATGCTCAAAAGAAAAACAACAGAAACTTAAAAACCCATAAGCCAACATCAGACCATCCATCCATTTTTCATCACAATCAGTAGCGGCTGGTGGAGTTTTCTCCATGGGGGGGCTATAAATTTAAAATAGACATATACCAAAAACGAATCAAACGTATACTAAGTTATTACATCAGTATATTTATTTATATGAATGCCAATAACTAAAAACATTTTGTGGCAAAAAGAATAATTGTCTTAAAGCCAAAAGGAGCCCAACAGATTTTGCTCTTACAAATGGAGCAGTGCGGTTATCACCATAGTGTTCCGCTGGATTTATGCATATAAATAGCTTTATTATAATTCATGCAGGGAGTATTACAGATTATATGGACACTGCAATGTAAGTAGAACAGGAAAGGACAAACGGGGAAAAAAGGAGAGAAGATGAAAGAAAGAGATAAAACGTCTTCAGTCTGCTTCATCACCTGCAAAGAGACATAAATCATTATAAAAACATAAATCTTTTTTTGGACTTAAATCTTGCCCCTCTGAAGTTTTATGAAGGTAAATCTGTGTTTTGCATCGTCCGATATTGTGTCACAAACCTAAAAAACAATAATATGTGACGACTTTATTCTCGTAATATTACGACTTATTTCTCATAATTTTACAATTTTATTCTCATAACTATCTGACTTTATTCTTGTATTGTTACGATTTTATTCTCATAATTTTACGACTTTATTCTTATATTGTTAAGAATTTATTCTCGTATTGTTGCGACTTTATTCTTAGAATTTTACAAATTTATTCTCGTAATGTTACGACTTATTTCTCATAATTTTACGACTTTATTCTTATATTGTTAAGACTTTATTCTCGTATTGTTACGACTTTATTCTTATAATTTTACAACTTTATTCTCGTAATATTATGACGTTATTCTCATAACTATCTGTCTTTATTCTCGTAATGTTACGACTTTATTCTCCTAATTTTACGACTTTATTCTTATATTGTTAAGACTTTATTCTCGTATTGTTACGACTTTATTCTTATAATTTTACAACTTTATTCTCGTAATATTATGACGTTATTCTCATAACTATCTGACTTTATTCTCGTATTGTTACGACTTTATTCTTATAATTTTACAACTTTATTCTCGTAATATTATGACGTTATTCTCATTACTATCTGACTTTATTCTCGTATTGTTACGACTTTATTCTTATAATT